TTTTTATTTGTAATTGCAATATGTCAACATGTGACTGATGTTTAATTATGTGGTTATTTTTTTATAACTCAATTTGCAAAACGTATTTTTACAAGAAAATGAATATCAAATTACTCACCCATTTTGATACTTCTATTTGAGGAGTTTTTTTTAGTCTTGAGGAGTCAAAAAAGTGATTTATGTGTTGATAATTCATTTGATACTCCAACTGGAGTTGTTCTTAGAGAGATAAAGTTCAATACTTTTATTTTGTATTTGATGAGGATCAATATCTCAAGATTTTTTGATGGGGATTGTGCCCCTTGTTAAGCCTCATGAGTCGTAAGTATTGTAGGATCGTGGCCACATTTTAAATGTAGGACCCGATGAAAATATATACAGAAATTTAGGTAAACAAGCTGGCTAGGCTATATAGATCACAATAACATCTCAAGTGCTCCCAGGGTTGTAATAATGTAAACTTGAACAGATAATTGTGTTATGAAACAGTAATAAAGGTGATATTTAGAAGAACTTGTTTTATTCGTAGATTGAAAGCTTGAACATTACAAACCTGCTTGAGGCAAAGGGAAATAAACATGTAAGGACCGAATCGCTCGAAATAACAAAATTCATACTAAGTAAAAATTGTAGGTGCTTCTTCTACGTCGTTCTCGCGCTTGTAGATGTGAGCAGGTTGGCTCCTCGAGGGAGTTGTCTCGCAGTGAAGGGCCTACGAGAGTGGAGGCTAATCGCCCAATTGATGTAGAAAGGTAAGAGGGTGCACCATCCATGGGGTGGGATAGCCCCAATTTACGATGATGCGATCACTAACTCTGTTATGGGCTCGAAAGACTCCAGGAGTCATTGACATCATTGGCAGTCCTGGGACGTGGAATGAGATTGACCATGAGATGTCGACGATTGTCGTCAGTCATCTTGTTGTCAGGTGTCGAAATGATCTCATCTTTTTTCCTCTTAGGAAGAATGAAGGCTGAAGCCTCTTAATGTGCACGTGTTTCTCAGCACGACTTAATAACTCCTCCAGAGTGGTTGTAGGTCTTCCCGCGATAGATTCATTGAATCTACCTTGCTTTAAGTTTTTTGTAGAATGATTCCAGAGAGCATGCCTCCTCCCATGTTAGGAACTTCATGAGCTGCCTCTACAAATTATCGAATGTAGTTGCGAAGGGTTTCACCCTCTCTCTGGGCGATAATAAAGAGGTACACGGGAGTCTTAACGTACTTTTTGTTGATAGCAAACTAGTTAGTGAAGCGATCCGGCAGTTGCAAGAGAGCTTCAATTGACCTATTGGGCAAGGAGTTGAACCAGCTCAGGGCTCGTTTGGGAGGTGGTTGTACCACGGGTGGAGCCGCAGGAGGAGCGTTGGCTCCCGCTGTGGCAATGTACCGTGCCACTACTTCAGTGACAGCACGAGCAGAAGTTTCCGCTATCGCACGTCGAAGGGCCTCCTTAGTTATCTGAACCATTCGAGGAGCGAGAAGAAGTGGATCCCATTGAGGATCTATTAGAAAATCATGAGGAGGGTCTAATGGTGGATCCCGATCACGAGGAGGACAAAGTGGTAAACCAGAGCCTCCACGAGGTAGGAGGTTGTTAGCAACACGTTCCCCTCGAGCTGATGTCTCAGGGTCATCCTGCGCACGTTGATGGACCTCCCCGGTTATCTGACCCGTTTGAGAAGCATGAAGAAGTGGATCTTGTTGAGTCCCCGGTGGGGGCTCGCAGCTATTGAACTACTAAGGAGGTCTTGATGAACCAATGCCTCTAGTTCAATCGGGGCATATGTATTGGAGGGATCGCACTGTGCGTTAACTATATCAAAAGGTTCTTGCAGGCACTTCATTTGTATCTAGGGAATCATGACGCGTAGTTTCTAGACGCCAATCTTGATTCGTTGGGTGATTAAGTTGAAATGAGCTCCATCTTAATCGTAACTCTAGGGACGAGTTTGAACCACAAAGGGTTGTGGACCCACGGCTAGCTTACACTTGAACCATCGAGGGTCACACTGCTCGTGCACTCGAGTTCTTTAAATAAACGGTCAAAGATAAAAATGTTTAATGTTAGCATAATTGGAAGTCAATATGGTTGAGTCCAACATTCATAATTTGGAACTATGAATGAAAATAAGAAAAGAAAAAGAACTAGGCGAACATCTTAGTGAACTTTCTAAATTGGGAAGTTTCCAAATTTAGAAGGTCCACTGAATTAGGGTTTCCACTTTTAGAAATTGGAAATCGAGAGTGGCCCTCGTAATGACGAGGACGTTTCAATGATTCCGGAATTATAATCATTATAATTTTCCGATCATTGAGTTGTGAGAAACGAGCGAATAAAGACTAACGAACTTAAGCTGTTGGGCCCGGTCCAACTTAATCTCGTTAGATCTTTTATACAAGACACTATAAATACAAGATTTATAGGTCTTGCACATAACATAACACACAATCAAAATCCTAGCCGCTCGAATCTCACAACCCACGACTACTCTCACTCACGGCCTTCGCCACCACCATCGTTCGTCGCCGGAATCGGCCTCACCCGATCGCCTTTGGTAGCTTCTTTCCTTTTGTCTTTTTCTTCCGTCTATTCTAACTTTTGCGTGTCTAGTGCCACGTATTTAGTAGATATCAGTATAAGAGGTGAAATCCGAGAGGAGGTAGGCCATGGAGTCGAATTGCCGAGAAGCCGTCGCCGAATCACCGCCGCTCGTGCCGCCCGTCGACCAGCGCGTCCGTCGCCGCTGCACCGCCGCTGCTCCTCCGGACTATCGGATTGGTTTTCGTGGCAGTTTGTTTCGATCCGATAGTTTGCCTCACGCTTCAATAGGTAATCTTTCGGATCCGTTAGATATAAGGTTTAATTTAATTAGATTAAATTGCACGTTATATGTTTTTCATGAAATTGATTTTGTATGTTTTACTTAATCGTTTTCATGAAATTATATGTATGTATATTACGTTTCGATGCGAGCATGCTATGTGTTTTTAATTATCGAATTAATATGCATTTTGTTTTTAATTTTCGCTGAAGCGTTAAGGTACGTAATTAATTGCTTAATGTGTCGGGCATGTGTTTATATGAATTAAATCGTGTTTTTCATATAAAATTTTTCGTTTACCGCTGCGTACACGTGCCTGATTCCCAACAATAACAATATTATTGTGTTTAACAGTAATATATATTACTTAATATTATTGTCAACCACAGTAATATTACTGCTTAATGAGCCAAAAAATACTCAGGAGAAAACAATTAAAATAAACAAAGGACAACTCCGCCGAGACTGGCGTTGACCGCTGGGGACTGGCGTTGACCGACGGTGAAAAAAAAATTAAAAAAAAAAAGAGTCAACGTTGGAGACTGGCGGTTAACGGCGGCGACTAGGGGTGGAAATCGGAACGAAATTCCGATTTCCGCCGAATCCGATCCGAATTTTTACGATTTTGGAACAATTTTTTGTAGTCCGAATTCCGAAATTCCGATTTCCAATTTTTTCCGAAAAAAATGGATCGGAATCGGAATTGTATATGAATTATTGAGAATTTTCGAATTTCAATCCGAAAATAATTCCAAAATTTCCGATAATATTTATGAAATTTTCCGAAAATTATTAACATTTCTTCATTACTATATATTGTTTCTAGTGAGGCTTTAAGAAGCACACTTTAGCAAGGCAACCCACTTTAGCAAACTGATGAGTCCAAATGTAGAATATTCAGAATTTTAGGGACTAAACAGTAAATACCACAAACTTCTAATAAAACTCTAATTTTTTCCTTATTCTTCTTGCGCCGCTCACATCTCCTCTGAACTTTTGTTTCTCTTTCCACCACCCAACTCTTCTTCACTACCACATTGTCTCTTTTTTCTCTATCAAAAATTCTTCTTCCATGGTTTATTTTCTTGTTGAGATCTGTCAATCTACCCTTTCACAACCATTTTTGAAGATTCTAAAGATGTCTTTTCGGAGCAGTTCTCATGAAATCGTCACGTCATATTGCTTTGTCGTGAAACTGCAACAAAGTCGCCACAAACCGCCAAGACGCTGCCAATTTCAAAATTCCGACCGGAATTTTTCGAAATCGGAATGAGTTTTTTTTTTTTTTTCCGTAATTTTCCACCCCGAGCGCCGTCGGAACTGGAACGATGCCCTCTGTTCCGGAATCGTAACCAGAACGATTTTTTACCGTGATTCACCAGAACGCCGAGAAAACAGTGGGATGGACGAGACGGAGCCATGTAACGGCAACAACGCAATGGGAACCGCGCCGAAATAGGAAAAAAAAAACAAATTTAACTAAAAAAGAAAGGAAAAAAAACATAAAAGAAAAAAAAAATAATAATAAGATAGTGGTGGCTACGGTAGAGAATGGAGATTCTCCTGAATCACGGATGTTCGGTCTCACTCTTCAATCATAGCTTACAGAATTCCAACTTAGTATTCTACGTGGTATTAATATTGCTTGTATTTTCATAATGTTCTTTGTAAAATTTATTTTTGAAATTGTATGATATTTTGCATATTATTGAATGGTAATTTTGTTATTAAAAATATATTTGAAATATATTGTATTTTTTTTTGCAATTTAATTAAAATGTGTCTTGTTCCGGCCGCGACGCAGCTGCAACGTTGCAACGGAATTGGAACGGCAGTGTTCACGACAATGCACTGTTCCGTTTCCGCGAAACTGGGCGACGATCAAAATCGGAGTCAAACATAGGTTAGAGGTCACAATTGAATAATTTGTGAGATAGTTGGAGGGCCAAATTGGAAATCCAATTTAAGGATGTGTGCGGGTGTGTGTGTGTGCGTGTGTGTGTATGTGTGTGTGTGTGTATATATATATATATATATATATATATATATATATATATATATATATATATATATATATATATATATATATATATATATATATATACATATATATACACACACACACACACACGCGCATAAAAGAGAAACCAAAGTAATATAAGGAGATGTGTGAGAAAAAATCAATTGCTTTTATTAGAAACATTGAGTTGAGAGAGCACAAGAGACGAAAGAAAGAATGGTAATGAATATAAATTTCAACCAAACAAAGCCATCCACTGTACAATAATATAAGAACAAACACTGCCCTTAGATGCAATTACTTTTCACTGTCTAAAATCTTCTTTGTCCAAACAGATAATGTATGTTTGAGCCACTTCCAGTACTTGAAGATATAGCAGCGAAAATATGGAGGATAACAGCAACAGAACTAGATGAAAACTGGTCCAACACGCAAACTCTGATGCTTTTTAATGCTTGAAGAACCTTATTCATGAATAAAATAGTTGCTCTGAGAAGTTGGTAGCGGAAGCCTTCTTTTATTCGGAATCCTAGACTGACTGCTGCAAATTGAACAATTAAAAATCAGGTGATGGACTAATAAAGTGTATGTGGATGACTAATAAAATGTATGTGTATGATTAATTTAGATGACGACTCACATTTTTCAGAGCTTAATAATGGGTTGGAGGAGGCGGGGAGGCGTAGATGTATGCCGGTGGTGGAGGTGACTTTACGGGTGGTGGAGGAGATGAGTAGACGTATGGCGGTGGCGGTGATTTTACGGGTGGTGGAGGTGATGAGTAGACATATGGTGGTGGCGGTGATTTTACGGGTGGTGGAGGTGATGAGTACACATAGGGTGGTGGCGGTGACTTTACGGGTGGTGGAGGTGATGAGTACACGTACGGTGGTGGCGGTGACTTTACCGGTGGTGGAGGTGATGCGTACACGTACGGTGGTGGCGGTGACTTCAAAGGTGGTGGAGGTGATGAGTAAACGTATGGTGGTGGAGGTGACTTCACGGGTGGTGGAGGTGATGAGTACACGTACGGTGGTGGTGGTGACTTTACGGGTGGTGGAGGTGATGAGTACACATATGGTGGTGGTGGTGACTTCACGGGTGGTGGAGGTGATGAGTAGTAGTACGGTGGTGGTGGTGACTTCACGGGTGGTGGAGGTGATGAGTACACGTATGGTGGTGGTGGTGACTTCACGGGTGGTGGAGGTG